ACTAAAGATTCGCATAATGTGTCCCAATTTAAATTTCCATTATCATTTAATTTATTATATTTATTTTTAACACTGTCCATATTTATTTGGAATTAAGGAACCTGTCATATTGTAGTTTAGATGCTTATTTAGCCTTCTTTCATTTCTATAGTTTACATGACACTGAAAGATGATTCTCTCCAGCAGAGTCAGAAGTTAACATATTTTCTACAGAATAAAATGGTGTTTTTGAATCTCTTATTGATCACTAGCAGTAGAGCCCGGCATTGCCCAGGGATGTAACAGTAAGAGATAGATCAAGTATCAACCATCATAAAGACTGAAAAATAAAATTGACAAAGATTGTTTAAGGTTGATGGACACGCATGTCTTAATTAGATTTTTTTTGTTGTTTTGTTTTTGTTTTTTTTACGAATTGGTCAAACTCAAACAAAAACATTGTTTTCAATCATTATGAGTCTACCAATTGAATAGAATCTTATTATAAACAATTGTTTTGTAAATGGAATTTTTAAAGCATTCTGAATGTAAAAATAAAGACAAAAGTGTGCAAGACAATAAGAAACACTACCTGCCAAAAAAAAAAAGTGAAGTTTTGTTGAAATCGGTTGAAAAATGTAGGAAATCCGATCCCATATATAAACGAACACACACACAAACAACCTGGGTTTTATAATAAGTATAACTCGATATGAGTTGTCCCCCTTTCATTCTCGCGATGCCTCTTAATCGTGTTTTCAAACTGATTTCGTGCAAAAACAATTGTGTTTTTTCCAATTTTTGGCACTGTCAGAACCACCACAAGGTAATTTTACGTAGTCCTGTGAAGTTTTGTTGAAATCGGTTGAAAAATGTAGGAAATCCAATCCAATATATAAACGTACAGACACACACACACACACAACCTGGGTTTTATAATAAGTATGATTATGTAGTCAAATTGTTTTTCATTTTTCCTCCTGGGTTTCACTATGTCCATAAGCATTTTAGGTAGTCTTTAAAACAGTTGTTGTTGTTTGCTATGCAACATTGGACCTATTTTTTTCTACATGTTTATTATAGGCTCCTAGTTCAAAATGGCCAACTACTTCACCATTTAGCTCCTTCCCTACTTCGTCATTTAAGTCTCTCATGACAATTGAACTTTCCTGCATTTTGCATTGAGTCTTTGAATTTTTTCTTCATGCTTTGTGCTGTTGGCGAATATACAACTACAATAGGTATATTAAAAGGCTTCCTTTTCAGTTTAGCTAAAAGAATCTTATCAGATAATTGACTGTATCCCAGAACACATTTCTTAATCTTTTGCTCTAGTATTAGTTCTATTCTCCTCTCATTTTGCTCTCCATCTGCTTATATGACTCTGTCTGTCACTGATGAAATTTTCATTCTTTGCCCACCTAGTTTTGCATACTATTAAAATATTAATATTTAGTCTCTTCATTTCCTCCTTAACATTTTTAAGTCTCTACATTGATTTAATGTTTTAATTTTCTATGTCCCTAAAGCTATTTTTTGTTTGATGTGAGCAGTTGCTGAAAAATGGTCTGGTGACATCTGTTGTACATTTCTCTCCTTATCAACTTGACTCCTTCATGTCATTGTCTCATATTTTAATTAACATTGTGGATTACCATTGTAGAGGACTGTGTGTTAGTGTGTTATTGAATTAGAAACACGTGCTGTTTATTCCTGCTAGAAGAAGGTTCAACTACAAAAACATGGTGGACTCAAGTTGTGTCCAAACAAAGAGCTAAAGAAAACAAACAAGACATATATATATATATATATATATATATATATCAACAAATATATGTATTAAACAACAAATTTTAAGTGACAAAGACATCAACATTTGTGTTTGTGTGTGGACATAAAGGGTTTGATTTTGGTGAATGTTTGTACGTACGTTTATGTATGTTTCATAGCGTTTTCCCACAAGTGGGCGAAAACACAGATCTCTACTAGAGATTACATTTTTAAATGTGTCTGCTGAAATACAAAGTGTAAAAAGAGAACAAGGCAAGAAGTTGCCCAGTATTTATAGTGTAGGGAGAGCGTCCCCTAGTGAACAATTAGGAAATTAAGGAGGAGCTAACTCTGACACCATGAATGATCTTGCTATTGACAATGGAGTAGTTTTCCCATTAACATTTTGTATTCATCTTGTCAGGTTTTCTGGTTTTCTAAGTCAATTAAATTTAAACTCCAGCTCAAAACTTCAAAACTCTGTTGTTCCACACATCGATAGTACTTCCCCAACAACTGAGAAAAAGCTGGTATTATATAGCTCTTCCAATCCCAGACCCACACTGTCTGTTGGCTAATATCTGCCCAATATCTTTCATATGCAAATAGTCAGCACCACCTACTCTAAGTAGAAGGCCTTCTCTCAACAGCTTATTGTGGAAGAGGACATAATTCCTGGTGCTTACAGCACCCCACACAACAAACGCTGGGTCTCGTGACAGGTTGATCTAATTCTCTGTTAGACTTTTACAGTGATTTTTTATTGAGGCATCAATAGTTAACTGGACATTGACTCCTCAAGAGTTGTTTTATTCTTTGATAAGTCTTATTCTTCATCCTATAGAGTTCCTAATCACCCACCTTACTCAAAATAAAGTGGATTGGGAAAGCCAGTTTACTCAACAACCATCCAACAAAAGATTTTTTTTTTAATTCAAAGTATTTTCTTGAATTTTTTTTTAGTTAATAATGATAGAAGAAAAATAAACACTATTCATATTCAAAAAGTCAAAATGTTGGCAACTGATCAAAAAAGTTACTACATATCACTTTTTTCCTCCTTGAGGTAGGAAATTGGGGGGGGGCTAAAAAAAAAACAATGTAAATTAATAAAAATTCATTATATTACGAAGTCACTTTCAAAAAAAAAAAAAAATCTGTTGTAAATCATCACAAAATGAACTTGCTAACTATTACACACACACACACACACACACATATATATATATATATATATATATATATATATATATATGTATACTGGGGCAACAGATCATTATTTAAACATATATTGTTAAATATAACAGACAATGAATGTCTATTATGTCTGATCATGAGCCAATCTAATGTTCGAATGTTTGCTTTAATTTCAGGTGAAGATAAAGACAAAAATTGTCTAATATTTGGATATTTTTTTATTAAGTTGGTCCTAAGCTTTCGGCTCATATGAGCCATCCTCAGAGTTGTTATACAGACAATGAAACAAAGATATCCACCGTCAAAGCTGATATTTTGTTATTTTGACATAGAAAATTGCTATGCAATGATAACCATATACATAATATTAGACAGATATTAGTTGATAAAATAATAGTACTCACACATACACACAGTAAAAGAAGCTTCAGATATTGGAAGCCATCTACATTAAAATGAAGCAACCCTCTCAACAGAATTACATTTTAAACTAGTCACAACACATTACATTGCATTTAAACATATGGTTCTGTTGTTAATATTTTGTTCTCTCACTTGAACTTACGATCTACATCTGCTACTCTACTACCATTAACATTGCATAGTAATTTTCTGTCAAAATAACAAAATATCATCTTTGACAGCGGATATCTTTGTTTCATGTCTGTATAACAACTCTGAAGATGGCTCATATGAGTCGAAAGCTTAGGACCAACTTAATAAAAAAAAATATCCAAATGTTGGACAATTTTTGTCTATCTTCACCAGAAATTAAAGCAAACATTCGAACAACTCATGATAAGACATAATAGACATTTTTTGTCTGTTATATTTAACAATATATGTTTTTTATATATATGGTGAGAAATAATAATTTATCTCTTTTTTCTTTGTAGGAAATAATAAATATTTGTTGCATAAAATAATTGGAAAATTTCTTACCAACTGATGCATACATCTTGTGCATAAACTTGACTAAAGAATTAGTAGAAAACCTCTGAGGCAGTGCATTTACCATCCTACAATAAGCAAAGAAAAACATTTATTCAAAAACATTAAGATATAAATACTATTTGCATTTGCCGAGATTAATCTTTATTTTTATGCTTTTTTTTTAAACTGAGGCTTTTTTGTTTTTTTTGGGTTTTTTTATTTTATTTCAGAAAAATGCGTACATATATTTATCACTGATCAGATTTAATTTTCCAGAAATTTCATTGATGGGTACTTTGATTCATATCCTTATCTTTCCTGTTTTGTATTAATATCAAAAAGATTTTATTTAAAGAATTTTAAGAAATGTTTTTTTTCACCCCAAGCAAGGCAGTAATTTCACTAAGGCACAAGGGTTGGATTGTTGATTTTTACAGTCTAACTGCTGTAATGTGGTGATTATATTCATTCAGATTGTCCTATGTGGACTGACTTTGGTCAAATACCAAACACTTATTGATATCAAATAAACTAGAAAACTCTGATGACCTAACTTCCTGAAGTTCTTGTTCAATACAAGCACTGATGTGGTAGTGTGGTGTTGTGGGAAGTGTATATGCGTTGGTAATTGTTGCTTGTATAAGAAGGTAGGTAAGCAGTAGCAGTAACTTATGGACAGCTGCTAGTTTGGCCTAAAGGTTCAACGAGCAATCAAATTGAGGTCACCATAACATAAACAAACAAAATATGAAAGAGAAGGGTATATCAGAAACACTTTATATTTAAATACACATCAATGATAAGTATAATGTTTCTTGATTAACACACACAAAGTCCGTTATTAAAATGTTCATTCAAAGAAAAGAAATCAGATTATGAAAGGAATTAAAGTGTCATTTTGTGAATACTTAAGTTTAGGCGTGCGGGTCCCAGGAGATGAAAGGTGAGGTCAATGGGTTGGTAGGTGTCATTTGATATCTCCGTTGGTGAAGGAAAACTGGAGGCGTCGGGTTGATGGGTGAGAAAAGCGTAGCGACATTCTATGATGGTAACTTCAAGGCTTTCTGACCAGAAGTGAATTCATCATTCTATTTATGTGTGTCCATCGGATCTGAGTCAGTATGCTGAAACAAACTGTTGGATATGGCGCGGGGCCGTTTAATTGGTGGAAATTGCTTATTATATTCTTTTTATTTCTTTTTGATTTTCCACCGGAACTTATGCGTCGAGCCTGGTGCGCAAAGACCAGTATTGGTCATTTGCTATCTAGACCTCTGAGGGTTAACATCCGGTCCTTCGCTTGCTCAGTACCACCACAGTAGTTTCACCAATTATGCCTTCAGCAAAAATGGCTAACAGCTGTGGGAAAAAAACCTTACTAGCATCATGAAATCATTTCAAATCTAAACTTTTAAAGATAAAATCGGGTATCTTTTGTAAATTGAATAAATTTTCTTTTCCATAAAATTCGTGAAAAATGAAGACATATAACTGAATTATCTTCAAGTCTGGAACAATTAACACAAATTTTGTTCCTTTTTTTTTCTTAAGAGAAAACACCTGCCTGCCTTGAAATTTCAGTAATCATAAATCATTTTAATTAGTTTTGATCACGAATCCTTGTGTAAATATATCATAAACTCCTAAAATGACAGACAAGAAAAGCAATGACTCCACATCCATTGTTCTTAAGGCAAAAATCATACAAATGTTGTGTACTGCTTTCATTTGACAAGTTTTCTTACACTTGATTCCATGGAATTTTGCCAACCAGCTTCAGGAGTTTTGGAAAATGCACAGATACAAGTCTGGATTTCAAACAGAAAAAGTGGAGAAAAATATTGAATGTAATGATTTTAGTCAAGTGACGTTAATTCTGTTGCATAGAAATAAGTTCCAGGTATAAGAATTTATTCTAAAAGTAGGTTGTATTTGAGATTCCATTGTGAAAATTCGAGACTGGCTTTAGTTATTTTCTTTCTTAACTAAAAATATTAGCTATTAGGTTTTTTAAGCAGTTTTCAAAATTTACCTTTTATAAATGCATGTATAGCTGGCCACTGATATTTGAGGACAGCCGTCTACTAGGGCAGCTAGCCAATCCCTATTGCAGACACTTGCTCAGGTGCATTTGTGTTTATTCAACACCTGCAGAGCACCACATGTGGTTTATACTGCAACTATGCTTAGTTACAGTTTCTGGGAAAGTGTGTGTTATCTAGCATGATCAACAATTTGAACAAAGCCAGCACACTCAAGCCCTCAGCCATGATGACTTTTGACTTTGTGCTAGCACAACTATTGACAGTCCCCAAGGTCTCCATATACCCAATTTCATTCACAAAACTTTGGTCAACCCTTGATATGGTCTTCAGGCACTTTCCAAATGTGCCGCACACTGGGATCAACTCCTCCAGTTTGATAACATCAGGAAGTCTCCTTCCTGACAAATCAACCCTGGTGAGATTCAAACATGAGGCTCATGGTCATGTGAATGTTCTAACCACTTGGCCATCTTCCCATACCTTTTATAAATAATACTTAATAAAACCCCTTTTTTTATCTGTTAAACATGAAACTTGAATATGTTTTTGCATTGAAACTAACTTACATTATCTTTGTGTTTGTCATTTCAGACTCAATAAAATTAATTCAAAGAAGAAATATTGAGATTTTTAAGAGCATAGATTCTCTCGAAAGCCGTCAAATCTGCTTCAGACCAAATTTATTTTATTGCCCGATGTTTAGATTTATCTACCCTTTTGTCTTTAAACTTAATCTCAACTAACAAATATTTGCTTATACAAAAATATCAAATTTTTGATAACATCAAAATTCAAGTTGACATGAAAAGCTAAACCTTTTGCATGGCAGAGAAAAAAGAAAAGGCAATGTTACTTCATTCATTTTTATATCAAAATTTCTTTTTTGCTTTAAATGAAAAATATCCATTACATTGGCTTCTTGAAAATATTCAAAAATGTTTGTTTTTTTCTTTCTTTCTTTCTTTTTTTTTTTAAATTCAGTTTTTATTTTATCCAAACCATTACAAAATCCAGGTTTTCATGAAAGTAAATGTTTTTTTAAAATTTGTAACTGGAAGTTTTTCATGTGGCAACAGTTTAGAAAACTTAATGAAAATGGTAAATCAGAGAAATTTGTTGCCTTGGAAAAGGCATGAACCCATCACTCTCCAAGTTTTACCTCATTGTCTGTCATCTGATTAATATCCTTGTCACAGGCACAGGAAGATAATAGACAGAAAAATGAATGCATCAATGAAATTGTTTGTGGGATTGCATTTGAGAAAGTGTTGTGTATTTAAAAACAAAAATGACATGTTGAATTGATTGAAAGAAATAGAATAAACATTTTTCATTATTTACATTATTCGGGCTATTGTCCTCATCTTTGTCGCCATATTTATTACAATGTTTCAGCCGTTGTATGCTCCGGCCTTCTTCAGGTGGCTGGAATATTGAACAGAACCCTTTATTTCGCTCACTGGGTGAGACTGTTCTAGTTCCACGTGCCATGTTTTAATGGATGTCAGTTATCAGTTATCTCCTGTTAATTTCCCTCTGAAAGTGCTCCACTGCCTTAACCGGGTATTGAACTCACACTCTTTGGGTCCTGTCACTGAATCTAACTAATGCCTTTATCCACTGTGCCAGGTGTCCTTGAAGAAGGCCGGAGTGTACAACAGCCAAAACATAATAAATATGGCAACAAAGATGAGGACAATAGTCCGAATAATGTAAATAATGTACATAATACCTCATCTCAGAAATATAGACAGAAACATTTCTCATTTTGTTTATTCTTTTGTTCTATCAGGAACTAACCTTGAGTATAGAAAATGTGCAATGCTAATTCCTGAAAGAGTGTATAAATTCAAAGAATGTTATTCCAACAGATTCTGTTCAAAGGAAGAAATGGACGTGGTTGAACTTACTCTCCTGGTGAGTGAAGGATTGTAAAGTCTTGACCATGGACTTTGTTTGAGTGGGTGGGGGAGAGAATCATGGTTTATGATACAGCATAAAATAGGGTTAATCTTTTGAAATTGCTCTATGCATGCAGCCATCTTTTTTTCTTAACACATGCCCAGAAGCTAAAAAAGGAGTAGCTACTACTAATAGATGGTTTTAGTACATGCTCATGTGTTCAAACAGTGCAATAGCTACTCCAAACATTATAATGGTTAGACAATTACTCTGCTATATCTGTTGGTAGTCATGACAATTGTAGACTAACTTAAATTGCTGTGTATGTATCAATATATTATTATTTGAGCTGTTGTATGAATTATAACAAAGATTAATAGTCAAATCCTTGAAAACTTTTCAGTTTAATTTTAGAAAATTAATTTACATATGAAGGCAATATTTTAAAATGTAGATTTATTAATAAATCTGTAACTCACAAATAACAAAGTTTATAAATAAATGTGACTTTTTTCTTTCAGTTCTTTTTTTGTGGAGGGGCGTATTACTTTTAATGGGGTTTTTGTGTTGCCTTCAAATTGTCAAAATCAAGAAACACACTCGTAAATTCATACAAAAGATTTTATTTCGAATCTTAAGTCAATCTATAATAAAATAAATTCCACCAGTGTTAAGAAAATCTATAGAAATAAAAAATAAATTTTATGTGACTATATTGTTTGTTTTTGAACTATAAATATGTTACAGGAAATTTATCTGTACAGGTAAACAATTGATTTAAACAAATTATCTGTCCAGCTAAACTACTAATTTCCCATCACTTTGTCTCCAGAATGGATAATATTTTGCTGGGCCGGCAGAGGTCATGAAATAATAAATCAATAATTCAGTTCTGGCTGCTTAATTAGGCCCATCTGAGATTTGTAAAGCATGACAGCCATTAGAAGGTTAAACAACCATTCTTCGTATTAAATAGTTTGATAAATGTTTTAGCAGACTTGCCAGTATTTAATGCATCTAAAATGCACTTTCTGAAATATGGATGATACTTAACCTTGACAGAACACAGTATTCCTTGGTCTTTGGGTTGGATAAGGAACATACATCTGCCTATATCTCTGAGATGAGGTATTATGATTACTTGCATTATTTACATTATTCAGACTGTTATTCTCATCTTCATTGCCATATTCACAACATTTCAGCCATTGTATACTCGGCCTTCTTCAGGTGATTGGAATTTCAAACCGAAGCCTTTATTTCATCCACTGGGGTAGATTGTTCTAGTTCCCCGTGCCATGCCTCTTCCGGATGTCTCAGTTATTTCCCTTTAACTCAAATCTCCAAGTTTTGGTTCACCACTGCTGTAGCCCGGTATTGAAGTCTAAACTTTTTGGGTCTAGACACTGGATCTAACCTCAATGGATGAAATAAAGGCTTCAGTTCACCTGAAGAAAGCTGAAATGTACCTCAGCCAAAACGTTGTGAATATGGCAATGATGAGGATAACAGTTTGAACAGTGTAAATAATGCAAGTAATGAATGTACAGTTTGGGTTGTCCAGAATAAGAATCTTTGGAGTCTTCTGATTGGCTTAGAGTGAGCTGATAATTTTGTCTGCATTAAGAGAGGTTGTTGTTGCATGTGTTTATATACAAAAGCAAGGATGTCATTGGTTTATCAAGACTTTTAAATTTGAGAACATTCAAGAATATTCATCAGGTGATTGAAAGGTCAGTCAAAATATGTGGAGGACAGTGTCATAATTCAAAGTTTTGTAAAAAGTAAACAATTAATATCCATAATTTTTCTTTTTTTTTTTTTTTTAAATGAATATTGTTTAACTTTTGATTAGATTATGGTGTGTTCAGTAATAGCTTTCCTCTTGTCTTTTCATTCATTTTGTTCCTTTACAGATACACTCTATCCGAAAATAATTTCCACACACATATATATATATATATATACATAACAAACTGGAAAATTTCTTGTGAAATGCATCAGAAGAAATTTTCAAGTTTGTCATATTTTTCTAAATACTGTTTGTTGATATATAAAATAATACATTGTTATATATATATATATATATATATATATACACACCTAGGGAGGTTTGTCTGGTTCACTAGGTGTATCTAGGTCTGCTCTACGGTTGTATTGAGCACTTTGTTAGTTGTTTACTCGTATCGGGGTTTTTTCTTTGGGCTTCAGACCGGCATCTGTGCAATTTTTTGTCGACAGAAGTTCATGTTTGTAGCTCTTTCTTTTTTTAAAACCTTTTTTCCCTCGAGATTGATTTGATTAGCAAATCAAAAATTTGAGGGTTTTTCGAAACTAGTCTAGTTATATATATATATATATATATATAATA